CAGATGGTAGCTAGTATAATCCAGATTATACTGAATAATATCAGGATTATACTCATTGTAATCTGGATTATACTCACTGTTATCTGGATTATACTAGCTACTATCTGAAATTGTTTTTCACTCAGTATAATCTGGGATTATATCCAGTATAATCTTGTTCTTTCCGTGTATGAATATTTAATTTTCTAAAAAAAATGATTTTAATTAGAATAATAATTTTAATTAATATAAAATAAAAATCCAACATACTTGACGATTTTTCGAGATTCCTGGAAGCAAATGGAAAAATATCCCAGCAAGTGGAACGTAATTGCAAAAAAGATATAAACTCACTGAACCTTGAAACTCCGGAGTAGTCCATTAAAAGCAAAATCCTGTTAATCCTCCAGCATCCAGCAGGGAAACAAAAGCCAGGAATGTTAAAGACAAAACAGATGTCAGCGAGACGGATCCGCGGAATGCATTTCCATTGAGAATCTCTTCCATTCATATATATTTATACAGATATATAACATTTATCATGACAAGATAAACTTGTATCACTTGCATCAGCCGTCAGCAGTGTTTTCACAGTGTAGCTCAAGTACACCCGTCTAGACGTATTCACAGCCGCAAAGCATGTACGTTTTTTAACACCGCGACTGTTTTCCTCTTCGCGATTTAACGGCGTAAAATCTCTATTTTATTTCACACACGTACCGGGGGATTCCTACATTTTGCCGAGATCTATCTATCTAACAATCTATCCGCCGGTTTTACACTGTTATATGGAAACCACTCAACTCTTTTAGCGACGCTTTGCACCTCGGTCTATTCAATCTAGATTTGTCCCGAGGCAACCTATCCAGATACGCTTCCTGATATCATCCAGATACTCCGAGGCACTACACTATTTTACACGGATATTGTTCACAACTTTGTTATCATTTCTTTGTTTTCATACGCTCAAAAATTTACACATTTTAGAGATTTATAAAAAAAAGGGAAAAAATTATAATAATAGTAATAATAATAAAGTGGCAGATAGGCAAAAATTGACAAGGATTTTTCTTGTAGAAAATTAAATTTCCTACAAGAAAAAGATTTCTTGTCATTTTTTTGTAATTTTAATGTTTAATCCAAAATTTTGAGTTTTAATTAAAAAAAAAAAAAATCTTTACCGTACTTGACTTTACTTTCTTTTTCAAGTTAATTAAAACTCTTATGTTAACTTAAAACCTTACTTTTACTTGTTTACTTCATTACCTAAACCAGGTTCCTGGGGCCCATAACCTGTTGGAATCTCCAATATTTACCCCAAAATTTTGTGTTTTAATTTAGAAAAAAATCGTTTTGCATTATTTTTCTAC